AGGCTGGAGGTGTAATTTAATGATAGAAAACATGAAGCCTCAATACCAAAAACAGATAAAGGGCAGTATTAACTATTTTCTCCATTACCCACAGGATGCCTATGAATTCAGACTGGCAAAGGAGCTGTCAAAATTAGAGAGTAAGAGTGCCTGTGGCTAAAAGAAGACTTTCACAACATGAAGTTATCCTTTCTGACCATTATCACCTTACTACAGGATTCTAAAAGCTATCATTGCAAACATTAGAATTAACTTAGCTGCAGATCTATTAGTGATGAGACAGAATGCTAAATATTCCCTCAATCAGATCTTGAAAGTATTTCACACAGCATCATGTTGGTTGCAAGTTACAGATCTCTCTTTGTAAAGAGGTATGCAGCGAACTGAAGAGGGTCTCTGTAGCCTGTCCATGACTGACACCATTATAGTACTTCACATTTCATATTTAGAGTTTGTATATGAGGCTCGGCTTTGTGCTGAGATAGAAAGCAGCCATAAGGAAAAACAATTTCTACTTCACAGAATGCCTGCTGTGTGTCAGGCACATTGTAAATAAGTCCTCTTAGCAAACGTGAATATACATGTCACCCCAGTGTTACACATGAAAACATTGAGACCCAGAGGGTTAATATAACTTGTCATGGTTAGATCAACCAGCTCTCTTCCGAAAGACATGTTTTTCTCAAGGGAACATAAGCCTTTCCTGGTACCAGCATTCAGTAGTCTTACTAGACAGATTTCTCTGGGTGGCTTTGTTTACTCCTAAACATTCACAGGACACTACGTGACCCTTAGAGGGTTTGTTAGGCATGGACTCTGGAATAAAGGTTGCATGCTGACAAAAAAAATGTCCTTCATGGGATAGTAGAGGAGCACCAGGAACAGAAAACAGAAATCTTTTAACGAGTACAGAAGTTCCCCAGTAATATCAGAGTCAGATTATGAAGGGCTATCCATGTACAAACAACACTCCAAAATAGTAGTCTACTCATCTTAATTACCATAAAATCCAAATACACATATACAATATTTCAAGAGACCACATTCACATAACTTTTATTATTAACATTGTCATAATTGAATTTATTATTAGCTGTTAATCTCCTCTTTATAAACTAATGTATAGGAAAAAAAATAATCAGGTAGATTGATATTCCAGTAGCGTCTGTGGTTGCAGGAAGGTACCAGGGTATTGGAACACATCCCCAGTGGTAAGGGGACTCCTTTAGTGTCTCTGTTCACTATGACAGTTTTTAGAGGCACAGTGGTGGATCTAATTTGTAGGACCTTGGCCCATAATATATTAAATGTCTAGAAAGATGAGACCTGGAGACTGGGAAGTGGCAATGATGAAGGTGTAGTCTTGACATGGTGGCTAAAGTCCAGGATGACGAGCTTCTTTTTTTGTTTTGTCTCGTTTCTCTGTATAACCCTGGCTGTCCTGGAACTCACTCTGTAGATCAGGCTGGCCTCAAACTCAGAGATCTGCCTGCCTCTGCCTCTCGAGTGCTGGGATTAAAGGTGTGAGCCATGGCCCCAGCAATGACAAGGTTCTTAACTAAAGAAAGGAGGAACTTCCATCTGAGCTAGCCAGACAGGAAATGGTTTGAAGAGGAGTTCAAAACATATCTTCTAGATATTGAGGGGGAGAAAAACCATCACCACACTATAAGAAGTCCATCCCCAATGGTGACATTGCTATCTCCACTATATGTGAAAAAAAATCTCTTCTGTCATAAAACCTTCTTAAGAAGATAACATTCTTCAAGATCTGTTTTCAAAATCTCATGGGTGGGGACCATGCTTAGATTGAAGATTCAGCTTCTCAATATAATTTATCAGAGAGGGGTCTGTGCTAATGATCTAATTGCCCTGCATCAAATGCTGACTGTGCATCTTAAAACACTAGCCCACATGAAATAATACCTTTTTGTCACCTTTTCATTAAGCTCTTACCACCCTTACCACTCAGACTTCCGCTAATAATCTGTGCACAGTCTTTTGCTCTATCTTGAATTTGATGTTGTTCATATAGGAAGTCATCCATGTGAATGGATAAAGACTGAGAATTATAGACAGCCCTATTAAATAAACAGCAATTCTAGTGCTAAAACAAACCCTGGATAATGTTGCTATTTAATTAAAGGCTAAATTGCAAAAATTGATAATATGATTACATGATACTAATAACTGATTACATGCCTATAATTCCTGTCCTCAGGAGAATGAGCCAGGAGTGTTGTTAAAGAGTTCCAGGCCAGTCTAGGCTACATATCCAGTGTGTCTAAAAAATATGAAAAGTGGCATGGACATCCATCTGACAAAGATGCAACATATGTCAATCATCTTTACTGAAGAGTACTTATTTTTCCTTTAAAGGCATCTGAGCCTGTAATGATGAAGGCTGACACCCTTCTGTCAACAGCTGTCTATAATAACTCTTCTATTTTGTGCCTGTTATGTCAGTGTCAGGTGTATGAAGAGAGGTTCATTTTTGCCCAGAGCTCAGTGTTTGGAAGACAATGGGAAGGACAAAGGATGTATATTCCTTGTCATCCATAGTGACCTCATGTCAGCACTTGGGGGCCTTGCCAATGCAGATCCTGAGGTCACAGGGTCTTTCTGCATGGCACTTGTCATGCATGCTGCATGGTGCACCTGCAGATGCTGCTGTCCCTGTAAATGCCCTTATGTCAGAAAGCATGAACCTAGCCTGTGAGTCACCTAAGCAGAAGGTCCTGAGGGTCCAAAGTTATTCAGAGAGCATGATGTACCTATGGCTGCCACGGTGCCTTGTGTCTGCTGGCATGGATCTGGTTCATGTGGAACCCAAGGACAGAGGTTCCTGAGTACTTTTGTGTGGTTTTGCTGGTGCACCAAGCCCAGCCATCAGTCAAGTCTTGGGAGTTTCCCCTCCAACAGTGTCCACAGTCTTCAGAAAGTAAATCATTATTCCTAACATCAGGACTCTGAGAGCACGGCCACCTTGGAGACATCAGCCCCTGTCCAGAGGATGTACCTGAGGACAGATTTGATCAAGGAACACACCTTTGTTCATGAGCCAGATCAAAGAATGCCAAGAAGTTCCTTGGATCCCAGAGGCACATGAGAAGCCAGATCTTTCTCTCTTGGTGTGCAGACAGCCTGTTCAATTGCCCAGCTCCAAGATGTGTCAAAGAGATGGTTCTAAAGAAGCTGAGCCAGTGCAACAAAGGAAAAGAGAAGTGGGGTGGACTGCTTTGGTTTGAGGTCACAGACTACAAAAGGAGCAAACAGAATCTAAATTCCATGCCATCTGCTTTTAAGCTGGTCACTAGAAATAGAGTAGCCTTGTCTTTTATTCCCAGACGTGAGTATCTGAGCAGAAGCCTGAGGAAGAGACCTGGCAGGGAACTTCTCACCAGCCTATTGGTCACCTAGGCTGCTTCTGGACTGCTCTGAAATCTTCTCTGACCTAGGGGGCCTCAGGTCTTCCTGCTCAGCCTAAAGGAAGCTATGGCCTTCCCTATCTGTCCAAGATGATCTGTACCTTCCTCATTTATACTAGGGGGCCTAAGATATTCTGCCTCTACTCAATGGATCCTTGCCTTGCTCCTAAGGGGAACTGGTGCCTTATATATACTGTATACATCACAGAGAATTAAATTTGAACATAAGCATAATATTTAATTACAGTTGCAATTTATAGCTGAACATTTATACAGTATAGGAATCAATTAAATATGAATTAAATTAATAACAAGGTTCAGAATGATTTTTGAAATATAGGTATTTTAAGAATCCTAATGTAGCAGTTGGAGAGATGGCTCAGCAGTTAAGAATATTTGCTGTTCTTCCAGAGTACTGGATTCAGTTATCAGCACCCATATGTCAGCTCACAACCATCTGTAACAACTGTTTGATCTGGCCTTCATGAGTGTGAGGCACACACATGTTGCACAGATATACATGCAGGCAAAGCACTCTTACACACAAAAACCAATCTCAATATAACACATCAATTATTTGTTTTATTACTATTGATATCATTCCACTGTATGCAGTACATAAACAGAAACATGAAGTAGTTTTTCTGGCATAATGAACGAGGTTAGAAACCCTGTTCTGGGTCCTGTAAATATTTTCTGCACAGTGCTGTTTCCACCTGAAACCTCTCTGCACACAGTTCAAGGAGGAAATTTGCTGGATTTCCCATCATAGGCAGAGAATAGAGGTATGATCCAAGCCATGTGCCTTGTCCTGTAGAGCTTGCTGTGTAAAGGGTTGTGTGTGGAGAGAGCAAGTAACCCATTGTTAATACACCTTGTGAAACTTTGGAGTGATAGGTATCAAGAGCTCTGATGAGGGACAAGGCCTGGGTGGAGTGGGGCTTGTAAAAGGATGCTGGCCTACCAGGTGCAGGGTGGAATTTAAAGAGGAGTCCTGGAGTAATACATTTTTTAAAAATTTGAGACAAGATCGCTCCGTAGCCCTATCAGCCGAGGAACTCATTATGTAGACCAGGCTGGCTTTGAACTCACAGAAACCTGCCTTGCCTCTGTCTCTCACGTCCTGGGATTAAAGGCATGGGCCACTAACCTGGCTAGAGTAAAACTCTAAACATGAAGTTTTAACTTGGAAAATTCCTAGCCCTCTGGTATTCACCCTTGTCCTGTTTCACAATCCATAAACACAGGTATCAGTTGCCCTGAGGTGGTAACACACCCCTTTAATATCACTACCCTGGAGGCAGAGGCAGGTGGATCTCTGTGGGTTAGAGGTCAGCCTGGTCTACATAGTCAGACCCTGACTTAAAAACATAAAAGCAAGACCCCTGAATTTGGTGCTGGTAGTTCATTTAGTTTTATTTGGTGTGTGAGGGTGAATTGTTTGCTTATTTGTGTGTGTGTGTGTGTGTGTGTGTGTGTGTGTGTGTGTGTGTGTGTGTGTGTTGAGATAGGATCTCACTGTGTAGTTTTGGTTGGCATGGAACTCATTATGTAGATCATGGTGAACTTGAACTCATAAAGATGGCCTGCCTCTGCCTCCAAAGTGCTGGAATTACAGATGTCTTTAATTTGAAAGGAAGGTCCCTGTGGGTTTGCTTCCATGGGACAGGACCACAGAGAAGGTAGGATATGGAGACTGTTTCTGTTTAGGAGTGGATGTATTCAGAGGGACGAGTCTTAGTGTATGAACATGAGTATGTTGCCTCTCAGGCATCACATGAAGATGTCACAGTCAGAAACAGGAACTGTCTGATTAATGGGACATATCTCTCCAGGGAGACCAGTTAAGGGAAAATGGCAGGTTGCAGGCTGTAGGTTCTGAGGAGGTAAGGTACAGGGAAGGCCTGGTGGATGGGGAAATTGCTGACCCTTGCCCACCTCTGGCGCTCCTTCCCCCATCCCCCGTCTGAAGATCCAGCATTAGCCTCGTGAGACCTCGTGGCCTTTGAGGAGGGCGCACCGCCCCCACGGAGCCAGGCGCCTTTGTAGCCTAAGGGGCTAGGGTGGGGGAGAGGCACAGGCACATGATGTCCAACCTCCCTCGCCAGCCCAGCACCTGACCGGGAAAAGCCTCGGATTCCTCAGAACGGAGACCGGTCCCTGAGCAAGACAAATGGCCTCCCCACGCCTGGGAATCTTCTGCTGCCCTACAAGGGACGCAGCCACACAGCTGGTGCTGAGCTTCCAACCGCGGGTGTTCCACGCGCTGTGCCTGGGCAGCGGGGCTCTCCGCCTGGTGCTTGGCCTCCTGCAGCTCCTGCCTGGGCGCAGATCTGTTGGTCACAGGGCGCCTGCGACATCTCCACCGGCCTCAGTCCACATTCTCCGCGCTGCCACCGCCTGCGACTTTCTTGGCTGCCTGGGTAAGCGCATACAGCCAGCTCCTTTTTGGGTTGGAATGTGCAGTTCACAGGGTGGAATGTTCAGGGTTCCACAAAGTGGGATCTGCCCTCGCTTGAGGATGGTACACAACTCACTGGATGGGACCTGCTCTGGCCCTGATGCGGGGCCCCAGCGGGGGAGTCCAGGTTTGGGAACAGCTCTGAGATATGTGATTACTAGCCCTTGTGTTTAGAGCAGGGCTGGATCTATTCACCAGGTGACTGGATAGTACTAGAGAATTCTGCAGAGTGGTTGGTAAAATTAAAGTCCGTGGAACTTTTAACAAAAGTATGTGTTTGTTAGTGGAGCTTATTAAGGAAATTTCAGACTATGCAGTTAAAATCCAGAAACAAACAAACAAAACTAAAATGGGTCCTTGGTTAATTCAAGGAGGACAATCAACACTGTCTGTGCCCATGTTCTTTCCTATGTGTTTGTTTGTTTGGTTTTGTTTTTAATCTGAAAGTCCTATCTTTTGAGCTGTTGTTGAAATCACCAGGGCCTCGTGCGTGCTGGGTAAAATCTTCAAGAAGCAGCTCTATCTCTGGCCCCTCATTATGGTTTTGAGCCTCAGGTATACAAAGTTCTATCTGGTGCGTGTTCTGTGACACCTTTATAAAATGACACAACATTTTAAAACGTTTTCAACACCCCAGAGAAGAAAATGGCACGTGAGTTCTACATGAATTTACACAAAGTTGTGTGGGAATACAGCACTGCCCAGGATTTACTCCTGATCTGAGACCCTCTTAAGTCCTGCTAGGGCAGAGTAAAAGGTAGGAAATAGACACTGTGCTCCACAAAACAATCATGGTTAACTACTTGACACATAACAGAATGAGTTTTCCAATATCCTTTTTCAACTAGAGCATAATGCACATTCCTGCTTATGGTTTGACTAGACACTTAAGTGCCTGGGATAACTCTGACATTGACAATTATCTCAGTTTCTCAGCCTTCATTTTTCTCTTTATTGTTACACACCAATATGTCTGTTTTTCTCTTTCATCTTTCTTTCCTTCCTTCCTTTGTTCTCTTTTTTTATATCCCCCTCCAAAGCAACCAGCTTGTTTCAGATTTGAATTAAAATCAAATAGGTTTTTACTATCTAATTCTCATACAGGAATCGTTACCAGGTCCACGGTGTGGGTAGCCTACCCAGATTTCATTGAAAACATCTCCAATGTGAATGGAACAGACATTTGGCCTGCTGCTTTCTGTGTAGGGAGTGCGGTAAGTTATCTCCCTTTGTTCACCCTCCTCCTTCTGTTCCTGCTGCATGGTGGTCTTCAAAGTCAGCAGAGTAGACACTGGGAATTGTGATGAAAGCAATTCTCAGGTCATGCCCTGGACCTGAGGACCAGGAGTCAGAGTGAGGCCAAATCTGCCTGGGGTGCAGATGGACACACAAGTCTGAGAATGACCCCATCCAGTGCCTCAGCCTCTGCCTTACACACACACACACACACACACACACACACACACACACACACACACACACTTTCTATGATGTGTGCACAGCCCCAATCAAAGCCAGCTACAGGAGATTGGATGTGGTTTTCTAAACGAAATATATTTAAATATACATTAAATATTCCATATGAATTTTTGTATAAATAAAGCCTTCAGTAAATATACATATTTCACACAGAGAAACATGCTATGCTTCTTGCACTGCACTGCCCTTTATAGGAATGATGTGTAGAAAGCATGAACACTGTGTGGAGTCTCAGTTCCTCTACAGAATTCCCACCTTATTTCCATTTACACTCTCTATGTTTTCCTAACTGCATTCCAATAATGCCCCTGTCTCAACAGCATTACTAAAGCACATTGATTTTATGTTGCAACCCATACTCCACTCTTGTCATCCCCTTTTACTGAAGTGCTTTCTGAGTCTCTCAGGCTCACACTTTCCCCTTCTCAGAAACAGAACTTCTACCTGAAACCACAGGAGTCTTTCAACCATTGTAAATTTGGCATCATGGACCTCTAAGTGCCTTGTCTGTAAGCACACCCGAGACAGAGTTACCATATCAAATCTAACTATATAGACAGAGGACAAATGCATACACATATGCCTCTGGGTCATAGCCATAATGAGTTTCAGAAAATGTGTCCACATGGGATAGCTCACCGATGCTGCCAGGCAAACCCGTGTCTGTCCCTCATTTCAGGCGTGAGTTGGACACCTCATGCATGCTGCTAGAATCTTTGATGCTGAGCTCCTCTTGATTATAGATGTGGATCCAGCTGTTGTATGGTGCCTGCCTCTGGTGGCTCTTCTGCTATGCAGTTGATGTGTACTTGGTGATCAGGAGATCTGCAGGACTGAGGTATTTATTGACTGGGAACATGAACAGAGATGTCTTTCCTGATTTTGTGAGTAAAATTTGGACATGCTATTGGGCATTCAAAGGTTCTTTGCATTGAGGCTCAGCCTGTCAATTGGATTTACATCCAGAAATATTGATGCTTCCTCATTTTTATAGTAACATTTCTTTTGGAACCTGGTCTCACTATGCAATCCAGGCTTTCCTTGAACCTAGAATCCTCCTGCCTATGCTTCTTGGGGGTTCAGATTAAAAGGATTTGCCACTATTCTCAGCTGGCAGCTCATTTTTATAAGATACCAATGGCAAATTTAAAACATCAAAATTCTTACAACCTTGCAAATAAGTAACTTGGGAAATTAAATAGTTATGAGCTGTTGGTAAGTTCAAGTGAAGAACATATGTATTCAAGACCCTGAATTCAATTCCAGTGGCCAAACCAAAATAAACAAACTAAAGAAAGGGGGGGGGATCAGACATTTGGAAGATTTAGAAGTGAACACTATGTGAGAGCCCCTCACTTCATGTCATCCCACACCGATTTTATGCTCTGTTTATCATCTGGGCTCCCATCTTGTCCCCTGCTACTCTGGGGCTTTGGTATTAATTATGAGGTAAACATTCATTTTAGCAGGCAAGATGATGGTGATGTCAGCATCTAGAAGGTTCTAGGAAGAGTGTGGCTTCTGAGGATGTGCCATCATGTAGAAAGTTAATACATGGGATGTGAAGCCCCAGAAACTTTACAAGGGCAAGAACAAGGACAAGTTTCAAGCCTTAAGATATGTGCCTGTCTGCATGTATGTTACAGTTGTATAGCTTGGTCTTCTTGTGGGACTCCTACCAATGGGAGCAGGGGATATCTCTGACTCTGTTGCCTGCTTTTGGGACCCATTCCTCCTACCGGGTTGCCTCATTCAGCCTTAATAAGAGAGGAAGTGCCTAGTCTCACTGCAACTTGATGTGCCATGGCTGGCTGATATCCCTGGGAGGTCTGCCCTTTTCTGAATAGAAATGGAAGAGGAGGAGGGAAGAGGTGAAGGAAGGAACTGGAAGGAAAGGAGGGAGGGGAAACATTGTTCGGGGTGTAAAAACAAAACAAAACAAACAAACAAACAAACACAAAAAAATCATAAGACTTTGAAAAAATGATATGTGCCTGTGAGGAATGGACTGGGTTCCTCATCATAGAGAAGCCAGGTACACAGCAGAGGTAACAAAGATGCTCAGTTTCCGTGGGGACTAAATCTCACCCTGGTGCCTGGTACAAGTCCTACTTCTTGGAGCCTTGGGCAAAGTGTGGGTGTGGCCTCCACTGGCTGGAATGAACCAGAGCTGGGAATGTGACTTTCCCCTTTGAAGAGGCTGCTGGTTTCCAGGGTAGTGGGTGTAGCTGCTTCAGCAGATGGCCACTGAGAGACCGAGGCTAGTGGGGAGAGGTATCCTGCTGAATTCCAGGGCAGGGGCCCAACTTGGCAAACATGGCTGGCTAAACTTTACATGTCCTTTGAGATCAGCACTCACCCACTTTCTCTGGCAGACAGAGGAGTATTTCCCCCTTTAATTCCCATCCCAAGAAAGGTCATTAAGATAGATGTGAAGTTTAAATTTCAACTTTCACTGTAGCTCCCTCCTAGAGTGGAATATACAGGCTTCAAAATAAATTACATGGGGCCTTAAAAAGGGCCTTGATCTAAAAGTACTATTTATTGTAAGAAAACGACAGTGTAGTTCTCCATGGGGCACACTTGAGTAACCTCAAGCACGCCAGAGACTGAGTATCTGTAGTTGGAGGTCAACTCAGACTGAATAATGGGAACCTATTGCAAAAAGAAATGAAGTATGAGTGGCAGAATGTTTGTGGGGGAACCTACATATGCCTGTAGTTGGGAACCGTCTAGAATCCAGATAAAGGTATGTAGGGGATTAGTTATGGTCTGACTACCATGAGTTGCCACTGAGTTGAGGTGCAAGGCACATAACCTGGCTGTGTTTCAGAAGGCATCCTTTATTAATATAGTTACCTCCTGTATCCTGTGGCCCAGATATGGCTGTTATTGCATAGAAGGAGGAACTACTGTCCAGGCTTCAGTGACCTCCAGTCTTGGACTGGTTGGTCTTGCCTTCTGAACTGCTCACTCCCTACTCTGTAAATGCATCCAGTGTGGCCCAAAATGAGGGGAGGGTGTGGTGGAATGAGCAGATTTTGCTGTCATCAACAATACAGCTCCCCGCAGACAGCTGTTCTGGGGTAGCTGAGTCTCCACACAGCCTAGACTTCTGGCAATACTCACATTACTGACATGCTCCCCCACAGCTTCCTGCCCCTGTGAGGCCAGAGGAGGGATACTCCAGGAACTGGTTACAATGGGGGAGGCAAAGTATGCTGGAGTCATTTCCTTGTGCTCTCCCAGACAGCTAGCACAAAATGGTTTTTCTTTAGAAGCTTTGTGTGCCAGCCTCTGCTTCTTTTCCTGCTTAATGTTATGGTTTCCTGCTCTGATCCATGAGCATGCTTTCTGTTCATACAGCTGATCTTCAAAGTCAGAATCCCAATTGGACATGGGGTGCTATTTGCTAGGTATCCTGCTGAATCTTGAATGACAGCTAGTGTGTGTGACTGATGGAGCCCAACATGCTCACCCAATCACAAAAAAGCATCTCTGAATGCTATCCACTGCTCCATGGGATCAGCTGTGTGAATCTACAGAGTTACTGGCAGCATCTGGAAGGCCTTGTTCTCAAATCTGGGGGATTGGGTGACAAGGGTAGGGCTGGGTGCGTATGTGCAAGCATAAAGATAAAGGAGGGATATGGCAGGAATGTGAGCTATGCAGGGAATGGGGAGTGCAGAGGAGGGAGGAAGTAAAGAAACCCCTCAGGTTTGCCTGCAGAATTTGGGATGTCTAATCCCCACCAGGTCCTGGGATGCAGTTTCTCTGTTTGAGCCTTCAGATTGCACCCTTTGTCTGATTTCCATCCAAGATATCCACCCCCATTTTGTTTATTATTTATTTTTAATTATGTGTATATTTGTGTATCTGTATGTGGGCTTATGAATGTGACTGCAAGTACCTGAAGAAGTCAGAAGAGGGCATTACCTGGATCACTTAGAGCTAGAGTTACAGACATTTATGAAACTGCCTGACAAGGGTACTGGGAACTGAACTCAGGTCCTCTCCAAGAGTAGTATAGTGCTCTTAACTAAAGCATCTCTCTAGCTTCCCACCTGCCCCTGTTTAAAGTAGAGCCCTTTTTTTCTTTTCTAGATTTTAGTGTTTTAAACTTTGACACTTATCTTATTGCATTTTGAATTTTTTTTTTTACCTTTATTTCTTTTTATGTATGGGTGTTTTGCTTGCATGCCTGTCTGTGCATCATGTGCATGCAGAGGGTAGAATAAGGTATTGAATACCTTGGAATTTGAGTTACAGATGTTTGGAAGCCACCATGTAGATGCTGGGAATCGAGCCTGAGTACTCTAGGAGAGCAGCCAGTGCTTTTAATGCTGAGCCATCCCTCTAGTCCTACATTTATTTACTTATTTGTTTGTTTGTTTACATTTTTCAAGACAGGGTTTCTCTGTGTAGCCCTGGCTGTCATGGGACTCACTCTGTATACCAGGCTGTCCTCAAACTCAATCTGCCTGCCTCTGCCTCCCAGAGTGCTGGGGTTAAAGGTGTGCCACCACTGCTTGTATCTATCTATCTATCTATCTATCTATCTATCTATCTATCTATCTATCTATCTATCTATCTATCTATCTATCTACCTACCTACCTACCTACCTACCTACCTATTTTTGAGACAGGAGTTTGGCTATGCGTACTCTAACCCAAAGTTCCTGTATTTTTATGGATTCCTATGATTATATTGGGCCACCCTGGTAATCTAAGCTGATCTCACCTCAAAAGTCCTTACTCAGTCACATCTGTGGACTTTATCACATCTGTTGTATAAAGCTTTGTACTTCTAGGTTCTGGACATCAGGACATGGACATCATTGGGACCTTGTTCTGGCTACCACACTCTTCAGCTACTTAACTTATAAACTTAGTCTTCTGCTTTGGATGATCACAGTTCTGAACTTGATTTCTCAGCCTCTGTACCTGTTTCCTTAGTTAGTGTTTAGGGGGAGAAATTTCTTGTATGATTCTTATGAGGACTTTTATATGCTATCTACTTGAACTTGTAGCCTCATATTCAGAAAAAGGACTTGCTTTGTTCTTAGCATTTTCTGTGTCTACAACTTTTGTTCCATAAACTTTGACCACTGAAAGTTGAGATTCATCGTACTGGTACAGTTCTACATAACTTACAGCTACCCATAACTCTAGTTCTAGGGGCCTTGCAGGGCACTAGGCATGCAAGTGGTGCATATACATACATGCAGGTGTAGCTAGAGTTTTCCTGCCTTGTCCACAGTTAGGACAAATCTCTGTCACCTGCCAGTCCCACAGCCACTCAGACCCAACCAAGTAAACACAGAGACTTATATTGCTTACAAACTGTATGGCCGTGGCAGGCTTCTTGCTAACTGTTCTTATAGCTTAAATTAATCCATTTCTATAAATCTATATCTTGCCACGTGGCTTGTGTCTTACCGGTGTCTTCACATGGTGCTTGTCATGGTGGCGACTGGCAGTTTTTCTGCCTCAGCCTTCTGCTTCCCAGAACTCTCCTCTCTCCTTGTCCCACCTACTTCCTGCCTGGCCACTGGCCAACCAATGTTTTATTTATTGACCAATCAGAGCAATTTGACATACAGACCATCCCACAGCATGCAGGCACTCACACATACACACGAAATAAAATGAATAAAAATGAATAAATCTTTAGAAAAAAGAAATATACCTTATATGCCATATGATGGCTTAGATAGCATGGTGGCTCAGTGGGTAAGAGCACTTGCCATCAGCCTTAATGACCTGGGTTTGGTTCCTGGAAAAGAGAGAACCAGATCCCACGAGCTGTCCTCTTACCTCCATGAACATGTTATGGTGTGCAGCATGTGTGTGGGTGTGGAGGGTCAAGAGAAACAGGCATGAAAATTGTGCCCCAAAAGGTTGTCTGCTGTAGTTTGGATCTTATTTGTCCCTCAAAGGCTCACGTGTCAAAAGCTTAGTTGTAGCAGGGTGCAATTGGGAAGTGGTAGAACCTCTAAGGGGTGGCTTAGTGAGAAGTCTTCAAGTCATCTGAGGTCTGCCCTGCAAGGGGGTCATGGACCCCTGGCCCTTCCTTCTTTCTCTCTTGCTTCCTGTCCATTTAATGAGTGATTTCACCGTGCCATATACTATCACCATAATGTATTACCACAGGGTCAAAGCAACTGGGCCAACTAATTACACACCAAAATCAATCACTTTTCAGAAGGCTCCATTTCTTTTTTAAGGCCTCATATCTTTAACACTGTTACTTTCACATTAGAATTTCCTGGCAACATTCAAAGCATAACAGATAAGAGCTTGACAGTACTGCCTGAGGACATCTACATACGGGATTGTTTCTCTTATGGTTTTTATTAAGAATGAGTCTCAGAAGTAGCAGTCATCACCCTCCCGTTAGGATGGCTGTCATCAGAACTGGAATTTCATAATGGTGTGTATCTGTAGTTGCAGCTACTTTGTAGGCTAAAGCAGGACAATTACTTGAGCTCAGGAGTTCAAGGCCACTCTGGACAACAAAGTGAACTCCCACTTTTTTGTTTGTTTGTTTTTTAAACACACACACACACACACACACACACACACACACACACACACACACACCACTTCAAAACCAAAAAAAAAAAGTAGTGTTCACTGTTATCAAAGACAAAGAGAATTTGGTTCCTTCAAAAATGAAATGTGAAGGGGCCGAGTGCAGCTTAGTCATAGAGCAACTGACTGCCATCTATGAAGATGTATGTATGCAGGCTTAACACGAAAATACCATTTGGCCCAGCAATTATGCACATACACACGCATACACGCACACCAAAAATTAAAAACAGGAACTGAGATAGCTATATACATGTTCATAAGAGTACTATTCATAGTAGCCAAAAGATAGAAGCAGTCTAAATTTCCATTATGAAGGAGCATAGTAGGGTCTGACCATATAATGGTGTATTACTCAGCTATGAAAAACATGCTGAGTGAAAATTCCAAACACAAAGCCACTCAATGTGCTATCGTCTTTGTGAATGTCCAGAACAGACAATTCCACAGAACAAAGCATATTAGAAGCTTTCAGGGCCAGAAGGAATGATAGTGACTGCTAATGGGAATGAGCGCTTCTTTTGTGATGATCAAAATGTTCTGGAACTAGATTGTTGTAATGATTGAACAACACTGGGAATGTTGCAAAGTGTCTCTGAATTGTTCACTTTCAAATAACAAATTTTATGTGATGTGAATTTTATCTTAATTGAAAAAACAACAATCCAAACCCAACAACCCCCTCACCAACAGCACAGGAAGCTCTTTGAAGCACAGAAGCTAATATGGTCATTTCCACTGGGTAGGCCTGTGACCCTCTGAACTGTGGCCACCCCTCTTCTGTTTTCTCCTAGCACCATCCTGCTATACCACATCATGGCCTGGGGCCTGGCTGTGCTGCTCTGTGTGGAGGGGGCAGTCATGCTTTACTACCCTTCTGTGTCCAGGTAAGCCAGGTCACTCAGCAATATGGTGCCCAGATCCCTGGTCTGTTGTATGTCTCTAATAGGGAATGAAAGCTGTATAGATAAATCCAACTGGAAAAAATAAGGGACCTAGGCAAGGTAACTCAGTGGTAAAGGAATTTCCAACATGCTTGATGCCCTGAGATCCATCCCCTCTCTGCAAATGGAGATATTTATAAAACCTCAAGGCCTAAGGATGAACACTCTAAATTTAAGTAGAAAACAGACAGAGATAAACAGTGTCTCCGTGATTTTAGAAATGTGTAAAGCAGGGCTCAGCACAGCAGAACCCTCCTGACAAATCTTACCCTTTGCCTAATGTTTATGAATATAGTTTTATTGGAACACAACTATACTTGTTTATGTGCTGTCTGCAACTGCCTTTGCTTTACAAAGACAGAATTCAGAAGTTGCAACAGAGACCATGAAGTTGAAATATATGAACCATCTGTCTCTTTACAGGATAAGTTTGCTGACCCATAATGTAGAACTTTTTTTGACTACTTTCAGTTCCTTTGTTGGATATCTGTCTCCACTTTGGTATTGCATTGTTTATTAATTTACTTTTCTGTTGCTATGATAAAACACCATGACTAAAGTTTAAAGAAGGGAGATTTTATGTGGGATTGCACTTCCAAAGAGATTAAGAGTCTATCATGACAGGGAGGTGTGACAACAAGACTGCACATCACCTCCCAAACAACACTACTAACTGGGGGCCAACTGTTCAAATACCTGGGCCTGTTGGGGACATTTCTCATTTACACCACTACACCTTGCCAACTATGAGTGTTCTCAGGGAGTTCAGTGCAGGTCCACTGTATATTCTGCTTTCTGGAGAACTTACAAAGGGCAGACAACAGTGTTATAGCTATTGTAGTAGAATACACGTGGAAAGTGCTTTCTTTTTTCATGTGGTTCCCTCTGGGACCTGGAAATTTCCAGAAAACAATTTGAGCCCATGAGTTTCATTGATTCAGGGCTTGCAAGGAGCCTCTGGGTGCCCAAATGCCTTTGACAGATGGCTTGGATTTAAAATATTGATGCATGATTATCTCTTAGTTCTGTGCTACCCATTGTAACATGAATTTTAAAAGGTCTTATGATAAAAAAAAAACCAAAAACCCAGAGCCAGATATTGGGGTGAAAGCTGAAAGATCAGAGAAGCAGAACAGCCAGCCTCTAGCTTACCTCAATGAAATCCTCAGCCTCAAGATAGCAAGTTCCTGTTTCCTCATGCCTTATATACCTTTCTGTGTCCTGCTGTATTACTTCCTGAAATTAAAGGCATGTGTTACCACTGCCCGGTAAGAGTTATCAGCAGCCATTTTCTTCTCTTAAATCAATCATGTGTGTTTTAGCTGATAATTCTTACCTTTTTTTTTTTTTTTTTGGTTTTTCGAGACAGGGTTTCTCTGTGTAGCTTTGCGCCTTTCCTGGAACTCGCTTTGGAGACCAGGCTGGCCTCGAACTCACAGAGATCCGCCTGGCTCTGCCTCCCGAGTGCTGGGATTAAAGGCGTGCGCCACCACCGCCCGGCAATTCTTACCTTTTTTTGGATTAAAAATATTTTATTTATATCAGTATTTTGCCTGCATGTATGTATGTGCACCATGTGTGTGCCTGGTGCCAGAGGAGGTCTGAAGAGGGCACAGGGTTCTCTGATGATTGTGATGTATGAGTGCTGGGAACTGAACCCAGGTCTTCTGCAAGAGCAGCAAGTGCTCTCAACCTCTGAGCCATTTCTCAGCTTCAGTTCCTATCTTTGTAACACGAGTGCATGGCCTTTCACTACATCTTAACGTAACCAATTATTTCTGTGATTAATTCGTAGAAATCATTATTAGTTGCCCCAAAAAGAATAACTTCTGTGACTTTTGTTATCCGTGATAATGAAAACCTATTTAATTTTAAAACTTTTTTGTTTTGAGGCAGGTTCTCTCTATTAGATAGCACTGGCTGTCCTGGAACTTGCTATATTGACTAGGCTGGGCTCGAACTCAGAGATTCAATTGCCTCTGACTCCTGAGTGCTGGGATTAAAGGCATGCACCACCACACCCAGTTTATTTTAAATCTTGAATTTCTACATTCTGAGATTCTGAGTTGCTCAGGGATATGGAGTGGATCATATTATGTTACTGGGCAAGGCCATGTAGCAAGTACTCAAAGCTCTGTACTTAAATAGGTGCCTTTGTCTCCCCTTCCACATGAATTGTGTGCCTTTTCCCTGAAGGGACCCAGTGCAGAGAGCCTACCACTCCAGAAGACTTTTTTCCATCCTATGTTTCCCTAGTAGGCCTTAAAAGGGTTCCCCTAGTGAAATGCTCTATCACTCTTCCCATATATGAGACAGGAACACGATCCATCTCCTTCACCATCCTGTAATGCATTACTTGTTTTCACACAAGAGAAATGAGTCATATTTCCTTTGGACACAGTCAGAAGCACATTGATGCATTTCCCTCTCCTCTATTCTCTTATCTCAGCTTCCAGGTAAGTGGGCCATCTCATCTGAAGCATTTTTTGAAGGAGAATGTTTTGATATTCCTCTTTTAAGGTGTGAGAGGGGCCTGGACCATGCTATCCCTCATTATGTCACCACGTACTTGCCACTACTGCTTGTCCTTGTGGCCAACCCTATCCTGTTTCACAAGACAGTGACTGCAGGTAAATCTTGGGGGAATTACTCTTGGTATATGGACACTAAGTGCATCTGCATGCATTGGACTCACATAAAAAAAAACAGCTATTCCCTCTGGAATTACATACCACAATTGACCTTCTTTATCATTTTTTAAAAACTTGAACAGAATAGTTGGACAAACTGACCATGTTTAATAAGTGAAAATGTGAAAGTCTATTTACCTGTTTGCTATACAGGGTTTTTGTTGATATTTGTTTAGCTAAAGACCATTAGTCTTCACTTCTGTGCTGGGCTTCACTTCTGTACTGGGCTCTTCCAGAGTCTGCCTTTAGTATGGAAGGCCTGAAGGTGATTTTGTAAAATTGTAGAGGCCACATAGAAGTAGATAGAGCAAGAGGCAGATAAGGGAAGGGATCAGGTATGGATTCAGAGTCTAGTCATTCCTATGCACTTGCATTTTTCAGATGTAGAGGAAACAGGAAGTGGGACACAGGAAATTTATCCATTGCAATAGTAAATCTAGAAGAGAGGGAGATAGTGAGTCAGCAGAGGGACATACCTCTTACCATCTCCTCAAGTGACCATGACTTGAAGCGAGTGCCCATCTGTCTCATGCTTCTGCGTATCTCTTGGGTAGAATGTGAATTAAGGCATTTGCACATTGGCCTTCGCAGAAAGGCCATTTAAGAATCAGCAGTTGTTTGTAGAAATTTCTAAAGAGAGTACTTAAAGTCTCTATCACTAGTAATAAACTATTGATGCTTTAGATGCATCTTTTCCTAGCTGCTTTTAGGTATAGTGCATTAAATACTATACTTTTTTTTTTTTT